TTCTCTTAATAATACTCAGTGTGATTGGGGCACGCGGTAGCGTAGTTGGATGAGGCACTATGTTACAAGCCGGAAGGTCGCGGGGTTCAATTCCCGATGAGGTAAATTTTTCAATTGACCTAATCCTTCCTGTCGCACTATGGCCCTGTGTTCGACTCAGCCTCTAACAGAAATGAGTACCAGGAATTTTTCGGTGTGGTAAAGGGCGCCTGGCGCGTAAGGCTGACAACCTTGCCGCCATCTGTGAGCCGATTGTCTAGAAAATGTGGGAACCTCGACGTGTCACATCCCTATGGGCCTACACGGCCTGTTACAGGGATAGCTTTACTTACTGTTTGACGGGGACTCCGTTGTGTAAATGTCCGATCAGATGGAGAGATAGATTATAACTGATTTGGGACGTATATCGTTGTGAAATGCTGTGTGAGTGAGGGGGTGGTGAAGGGGGCGTGGTTGGTGTACGATAGGTGCAAGGAGGTGTTTATATTTGGTAAGTTGCAATTATTGTATCAAATATTCTGTTATACGTTTCGGTAAAATTGTCTTTCAACTGTATGTTTTGTTGCTGATTTCATATATATGAAACCTTTCATGAGTATCTAACATTCGTTCTCTCTTTCCGATGTACAAAATGTCTATTGTTTGATCTGTTGTTCGATATTCATGGATTCGATTAGTGGAGGGTGGAGTGAAACTTGGTCCACTCGGCACGGCGGCCACTGATTGGCCTATTGTAGCCTGCCCCGCGTGATTATGATGATGGAGAATTTGGTGCAATGAAGATTGTCAGGGGAAACCAAAGTACTCGGAGGAAACCCGCCCCAACGCCACTTTGTCCACCACAAATCCCACTTGACCAGACCCAGGATCGAACACCGGGCCGTCGCGGTGGGAAGCCAGCGACTAACCGCGGCCCTATGGATAACTAAGTCGGTGGCTGTGCGTTTCTTATAAATTCCAAATTGCAAATTATTGTGTTTTTTTTTTCGATGAATAGGTCTAAAAAGTTGCTTTTGTTCTCTATTTCTTTTTCCATAGTAAATTCAATTTTGGGGCATATCTTGTTGAATTCGCACAAGGTATTATCAATATTAGACTTTTATTTGGAATTTTCTCAAAATGTCAATAATTGCTGTGTGCTCGAGGTATTGTATAAATGCTTCGGCTAGAATTGCTGAAATTGGTGCTCCCATGGCCCCCATGACGGCCTTGCCATGAGAGCTCCAACTTCGGCCGCACATTGACGTACGTGTAGTTCCCACCGCGGCGGCTCGGGTTCGATCCCGGGTCTGGTCAAGTGGGATTTGTGGTGGACAAAGTGGCGCTGGGGGAGGTTGTCTCCGAGTACTTCGGTTTCCCCTGACAATCTTCATTCTACCAATTGCTCCACAATCACCCTCACCTATCATCTGGGGCTGGTACAATAGGCCAGAAGTGGCCGCAGTACAAGGGACTTAGTCCCACCCCACTAGCAATAAAAGAAAAATTACGTTCTGATGGAAGAGATTTTACTTGTTAAGAATTGGCTGTAATCTTGAAACTCAGTAATTTTATGAATGTGACGTGTGCCTCTCTTGCGCCCAAATCACAAATTAACTAGTGTATGGGGAGGGGGGGTATGTGCACTGTATTATCGTGGTCCACGTCTGTTAGTTAACTAAGACCACGAGATCTCTTTCTTTTAAAGAAAGTTATTATTCCTCAAGGATACAAAACATCTATATTTAACCTTTCAGACTTCGGAGCAGAAGAAGGATATGAATTGGAGATAACATCCTTCTTTAAGATATGATTTAAAATCCGAATGGATACTAAAATGGGGGAGAAGAGGAATGCATGTAGGATATTATCGTGAAAGTCAGAAGGAAAGAGACCACGGGGAAGACCAAGGCGTAGGTGGGTGGACGATATTAAAATGGATCTTAGAGAGATAGGATGGGATGGTATGGATTGGATTGATTTGGCTCAGGATAGGGACCAGTGTAGGGCTCTTGTGAGCATGGTAATGAAACTTCAGGTTCCATAGAATGTTGGGTAATTCTTGAGTAGCTGCAGAATTGGCGGCTCCTGCAGAAGGACTCAGCTGCATGGGTAGTTAGTTAGTTATTGGAGAGTGTGGGTTTCCCCATGCACTGAGATCAGTATTGGTCCATTGTGCTTCCCTCTATGATATTCTACCTGTCTCTATATCCTACCGATATTGGTGCGTACTATCAGCCCCGACTGATCCAGCGAGTTCGGCCTCTACTGGCTTAGCGGTATCTGTAATGGTTCCCCCATCTATCAGAGGCGTTAGAGACTACTGTTGGGCGGGAAATGCCCTTGAATTTGGCTCAGAGGTCTCCTAGAGACATGAGGATCTTTTACATGCCGTAAAGCTACGACACGGGACCCACGGCTTGAAGTCCCTCCCGGAGGACTTGTTCCCTTAATTTTTCCGCCCTTAAAAATTCCACGACCTCCGCCGGGTTTGAACCCGCGTACCACGAGTCATGAGGTGAGCTGCATGAGTAAGTATGGATACTAAAATGTCAGAGAGTATGGACTTGTGCTGTAGAGTAACCTGACAGGCGTGATGTCAGAATAAGGGAGCCACAAGGGCAACGTGCATTGAAGAGTGGTGGAAAATTGAGATTCATGTGTAAACGAAACAAGACTATAGAACTATACCTTGCACACTTAACACGTGCGTTTAGCAGAAAGGATAGCAAATTGAATAATCAAGATAAGGTAAGGACTTCTCATGTAGACTGCCTCAACAGCATCTATGAAAATGCGTAATCAGCTAGTGACGCACATAATTACGCCATAATTACAAAGTTACTAACCAGAACTGTCTTACTGGAGATGCCATTGAACACGGTGGCACTTTCCTTTCTTGAGGTTGCGTGCTCAAGGCATGTGATAACTTCAGAGATGTTTTACACATAGAATTCACGCAACTATTCGCTGTTAAAAGGTTACAGATCATGGAGGCCCATAGGGTTGCGAGACGTCGACGCTCCCACATTTTCTAAACAATCGGCTCACAGATGGCGGTGAGGTTGTCAGTCTTCCCCTCCGGTAGCTCTTTACCCCAGGAAGATTCCTGGTACTCATTTCTGTTAGAGGATCAGTCGACTCCAGGGCCATAGTGAGGCTGGAAGGATTAGGTCAATTGAGAAATACAATGAGCTCATCGGGATTCGATCCCGCAACCTTGTAGCGTAGTGCCTCAAGCAAGTATTCACCGTGAGGTGAAGATAATCAGATGAGCATGAAATGGAGACTATAGGTCTCCTAATGCGATACACGCTTTGCATTAAGGCTCGGTGTTTGCTGTTGGTATGCAATCTACATGAAAATTTAAGACGTATAGATTGTTTAATATAAACTTCAAAGTTATATTATAGAACACTACGTTAAAAGGATGAAACCAGTTTGGTTTTAATGCAGTCTGAAGTCAAAAAATAATTTTTTTCCTTATGGACACTTAGGGCAGTAGATCAGAAACATCTGGAAAGTTTTGAAATGTGGTCTTGGAGAAGATCAGTTGGACCGATTATGTGAGAAATGAAGAAGTGTTAATTAGAGTCAGTGAGCAGAGGAATATCCTACACGAAATAAGAAAACGGAAGGCTAATTGGATTGGTCATGTTTTACGCAGAAACTGCCTTCTAAAAGAAGTTATTGAAGGAAAGATAGAGGGGCGGATAGAAGTGACAAGAAGACGAGGAAGAAGACGTAAGAAGATGCTGGATGACCTTGGGGACAGAAGAGGATACTATAATTTGAGGGAGAAAGCTCAAGATCGCATTAAGTGGAGGAATTGTTTTGGAAGAGACGGTGGACCTGTCGTCTGACAGATTACTGATGATGACTGATGATGATGACCGCAATTGTGTGCTGGAAGCCGTGGTTGGTTGCTGAGTGTGGATGTTCCTAAGCGTACTGGCAACGTCCCTTTTGTTTAATTATCTCGGAAGTCCGTACAACTTACAGAGAAAAAGCACTGGATAAAAGTGCGCGTGTGTAACTTTTCTCTATAACATTTATTTTTAGCGTTTGTCTCCTGCATAAAAATATTGGGCTAGATGCGCGCAAATAAGCATGTAGTTCTTATGGAAAGACATAGTTAAACAGATCCCATCTGAGTGAAAATTTAAATTGCTCGATATTTTTTCGTGTTATTCTCATATATACAAAAGTCGCGATAGCACAGTCGGCATAACGACCAGCTATGGGCTGGACGACCAAGGGGTCGTAGTTTGAGTCTTGGTGGGGCAAGAATTTTCATTTTTCCATGTCGTTGAAACCGGCTTTGGGGCCCACCCAGCCTCCTATCCAATGGATACCAGGAGCTCTTTCACCAGGCGTAAAGCGGCCGGGGCGTGAAACTGACCACTAACCTCCAAATAGTGCTGAGGTCAAGAAAATGTGGATCTATACATCCACTCCCCCATACGCCTTCATGGTGTAGTGCTTAATTAGTTAAGCACAGGGACAACTTCACCTCACCTTCTTAAACATAAAATGTCTTGCAGATCTGACAAGCAGTTTTCCAGTTCCATGTGTACAGATTGATTAATTTGTTTATTCTGATTCAAGTGTCTCTTATACTTGTCTTTTTTTTTAGCCAAAACTGAATTTTGTTGACAGGCCACTCCCCGATATGAACCCTTACAAAGATCAATCCAGCGGGAATTGAGTTGTTTCCTGTGAACAAGGAGATGGATGGAGGGACAGAGAGACAAGACAAAGCTAGTAGATGCTTTTCGCAGGTTTTGCCTGAACATGCATAAATACTGTAAACATGACAATGACATGAAACTGTATTTTATATTTGGATGCTTTTGATTGGTGAAGATCTGCTCGGGATTGGATTACAGAGCTCTATAGTTCTTAATTTACAATTTGTTACCTTTCATTTGAAAGTATATGAAGGAATTATTGTTTCATAAATATTTTTCAGAAGTTCCTCCTGAATAGGCATTGTCTTCTTCATGGTTATTCTGCTGCAGGTTCACGTTACGCGGAAAAGTGGAAGAAAATGCATATCAAGCCACTGGTCAGAAGGGTTCAGTAAGGTCTTCCAACTGCAAGCTGTCCTTCGAATTGGAGGTATGCTTGATTCCAGTTGCTGCTGGGTGTTCTGCATCCCTTGGTCAGCCCATTGTAGGCATCTCACGCAAGAGACTCAATGGTGACACCTGGTGCTACAAGAAAGTCTGCGAGGAAGTGCTAGCATTGACTGCCATGGACCTGTAGCGGTTATATGTCAGTTATTCTGTTTACATAATCAAATAAGTATATAGGTCATGTAACAATAAAAGTTTTGGTGTGTCTGGAGGAAAGGAAATTGGTGAAAGAATTGGTTCAGTTTGTCTTTGATTTGCAGAATTTGTGCTCTTATTTGTATTATCATCATTTAGGGTGAAGTTATGCCATTGTTGCATCTAGTTCCAGCCCTGAGTTAACTCTTTTGTTACTAATTAATCCCTAAAAGTAACAACATTGTAAAAGCATACAGTGAACAATTAACAATTATTTAAATGTGTAGAAAAGCAAAATTTTGGGGAAGGTTTATTGACCAGTAACTGACAAAGAGTTCTGGAGAACCAGGACTAAACCAAGAACTGTGAGAATTATACATATAAAACCCCTGATCTGATACAGATATTAAAGTTAAAAAGATGGAGTGGGTGGTACATGTGATTAGAATGAAAGAAGAAAGGCCTAATTAGAAAATTTTTGGAACTAAGTCACGAGTTATAAGAAAAAAGCCTAGAGTTGGGATGGCTAGGAAATTCAGAGAATGTTTCATAAGATGTGAAAATGAAATGATAGAGGCAGAAGTCAGAGGTCAAGTTTCTTAGAGGACTATAGAGCTAATGAATAAATTTGTACGCATAATCGCAGTATTTGGAGGAAAGAATTATAAATGGCATAATCTTCAAATTACTTAAAATAAAATGTAGTTAGTGAGAGAGAGACCGATGTTCTGTTATTGCCAATTCAAAACTATAGGCTTCCACAGAATGAGTAAGTGGTGAATGTTAAGACTTTGTTGTACCCTATTCTTACAAGCACTAAGAGAAAGTTAAATATATTTTATGTATACATTGTTTAACATGCTTCAATGTCATGTCATAATAGAGCATTAAATTAAGAGAACAAAGAAAATCTGATTTCAATGGTGTCTGTTCTCAATCAAGATTTCCTTCCTTTTTTTTTCTGCCCATGTTGCAATCTTTTGCTGAAACAATTCAAACATTTTTTCTCTTGTTTGGAAGACCACTGTAGATGGCTGAATATGCAATTCAGTAATGTGCACCTAACATCTCATTTGTTTCATTATTAAAGCAATTGTAAGACATATGGAAAAGGTGTTTTGGGCATGAAATATGTGTTTTAATTTTCCTCTACAACTGTTGAGAGATATTTTACTCTGTGATAGATATTTACCTAGTTTTCTTGAGACTTGCTCTGAAATGATTGAAGGTCTTCATGTAAAGTAATTGTTAAAATGGTCTGATTTGAATAAAAATTGAAACCACATGACAATTTTTCATAAACGTTTCAAATATTAGATTTCATTATAATCCTGACAGTGGTTCTCGAGTTGTTTCATGCATACAGACAGAGTGATGGCTGAACTGAATGGACTCGTAGTTTTCCCACAGGATAGTGAACCAATCAAACATTATGTGACTGACCACATTTGTTGTTCTGACATTAGACAGTCAGACAACAGAATTATTGAGGTCATTTCATAGTTCTACTTTTGCTTAAAGTACTCATAATACATCACGATTATTAGGACTTAATTTAATGGCATGTTTTTAGAGATCAGTTAACAGAACTTACAAATGGCTGCCAATCCCCATTACAGACAGGGTTTTTTTTTTTTTCTTCTCTGCAGGTTGAAAAATATCTCACATCTGCTCAGCCAGGGTCCTCTTTTCACATCGGTAAATTGGCCAGAACGTTAAGCTTACCACTTATCTCTTTACAGATCTGGTATCAAGATTGAGTGAAACTTTCCTTCCACTACCTTTATGTCTTTGTGGCATATGACCTAAGCACAGGGACAATTTAAAATTAATATATTTGACAATAGAGAATAATTACTATTGGGGCAGCTAGCTTAATGATGTTATAGACTAAAAATTTTGGCCTAAAAGAGTTGAGACCTAACCTATGTTTTCATGTCATACTGTTAATTTGTATCTTTTCACAAAGATGTGAAGGAACCTTATTTTGCAGAAGTAACTCAGCACAGTGTGTATACTTGTTGTATATGTACCTTGTCACTAAAGTGAAGTATTCTTGTGATTTCTCATATTTATATTAGGGAGATGGCTCCTAAATTAACAAAGAACAATATTAAAATAGTTCCCAAGTATCTGAATTTGAATTCAGTTGCTTCCAGACTCTAATGTTTCCTCTTTGTATGGAATCCATTCTATTTTTAATCACATTTTTTATGTTTGCCATTACATGTTACAGAAAATAAAAGATTTGAAGCTTTCTTGGTAAGTGTATGCAATGAAGCCTCTGGCAATCAGACATATAGAAATTGAGTTAACCTCCAGTGTTTCACAGACTGTTGCTGTCTCCATCATCAGGATGCTGAAATGATGGATGACTCTGTAAGATTTGAAGCTTTCACGGCGGTGACTATGAAGAAAGCAGTCTTCTAGGTTAACACCACATATACACGGTGCCAAATCCCAGAAGACTGCTTTCTTCGATGGATGACTCGTCTGCATGTTGATTGTATATATATGTCTTGGAGCGCGGCGTCCTTGTCTGAGCATGCCTTGGGCAGTGCAGTCTGTGCTTTGACATTCATTCATCACATCAAATTCTTAATGGCAGGAGACACTCCATCTTTACTTGACTGATCTTCTGGGAAGACTTCATAGCATAGTACAGAAAACTTGCAGTGCATGAAACATTGTAGTGTTTTCAGTTTAAGTTGATATTTTACAATGCTGCATTTTATATATGCCTGGTTTACGCATCAATTGCCTGAAAATTTACAACAGTACTTTTAAAGTTGTGTTTATGTTGTCAGGAAATTCGTTGAACTTCAAAAAAGCAGGACAATCTTAGTTTCACAGCCATGACTTTTACTGTTTGCACCTAACTAATAGATGCTTAACAATCTACACTACAGTTTCATGCTGATTAAAATACAAGTTAACACTTGTTTTTCTTTATGTAATACAGTTCAAAATTTGAAACACTACTATCTTCTGCCATTTTGGCTACATATTGCAGTCAAGAGAGAACATTAAGAAATTTCTTAATTTAAGAAATTAAAAATTCTACCGCTTCAATCGCAATACATATTATCGCTTCTCCTATTTGTTGTTTACAACAAAGATAAATT